TCCCTGTCCCTGGCTCCTGGGAACATCTCGAGTCCCTGACATTCCCATGGCCCCTGACATACTGCAGTGCACTTTGTGCATCTTGGCCGCACAGACAGGAGAGCAGGTGGATGTAAGCAGCCTTGTTTAAGGCGGGGAGGCTGAGGGCCAGAGGAGCCGGCAGTTTGCCCACAAGACAGGCCTTCCAGTTGAAGTCCACCTCCAGGTTCCATGGCCACATGAGGGCTCCTTTCTTCCTAAAGTCTTCCTCTGCCAGCCTCCCACACACATACCCTCACCGCAACCCTGACCCATCTCAGGGGCAAAGGTCACCTGGGAGCTGGCAAGGTGGCAGCCCCCGTGGGTGCCTGGCTGGAGGTGGGCGGGCCCCGCCGGGCAGGGGCTGTGAGTGGTCACATTGAAATGAGCCAGGAAGCCAGTGCAGCTGGGGCAGGAGAACAAGGCTGGGGAGCGGGTGGGGCCGGTGATGAAACCAGGGCGCTTGTGGGGGCAGCCTGGTGGCATCTCGCCCGCCATTAAGCAGTCGAGGTGAGGGACATGCTCCCATTTCCCTCATTCACTGGCTCCTCCGACTTTCCTTAGGGTCTGCCCTCCTGCCAAGAAGCTGGCCCCCCTTGGTGACAGGACTGCTGGTGGCTGCAGTTCTCCTGGTCAAGGTTGCATAATACCCACTGCTCAAGGTCAGAGGCCCAGGAGATAGAGGGGAGGGTGGGACCACGCTCCCTGCAACTCCAGCTGATGCCCCCACCCTGTCAGTCCTTGGGCGCCCAGGCAGCCCCTGCCAGCCTCTCTGCTCTAGACTCGGAGCAGTTCTTTCTAAAGCAGACAGCCCAGACAGAACTTCCCCGGCCCCTTCCCTCCTGCCTGCAATGTCTCTGTTCTCCCTGGGAACAAGGGAAGCCACGGTGGGTCAGGTTTGGGAGAACTGCAGGGCAGTGTTCCTGGAATATGCGGGAAGCAAGCTCGGAGGACTCAGCTTGCTGCTGGGTGACAGCCCCTAGCCAAAGCAGAAGCAGGTCACTCATTCTTTCTAAAACTACGCAGCGGGAGCCTGCTTGGTGTTAGGCTCTGGCCTGGGCTCTGGGGACACACAGTGAACCCTGGAGTTTGTAATTTAGGGGCCAAGGAGGGCAGATAATATGAAGAGAACAAATACATACCCAATAATGGCAGAGAGAAGGCCACAGAGAGGGTGGGGGAGAGGGGACTGCTGTTTAGGTCACCTGGCCTCGCCTGGAAGAGCCTCTGTGGTGGGGAGATGTGGGATGAGGCCTGAATGATGAGGACCAAATGGCCACACCAAGCCCCAGGGGACGAGATTCCAGGCAGGGGAGAGCAAGAGAGAGGCCCTGAGGTGGGACTGGCTCCTGTGCTTCTGGGAAAGAAAGGAAGCCAGTGTGCTCAGAGGCTGGTATACAAGCATGGGTACGCAATGGGCTTCCATGGAAAGGCCCTGGGGGAGCCCCCAGCTGAGGTCATGCAGGGACGTGTCGTGGTCTGACACGAATGATTAGATGGCACACTAACTGCCAGGCAGGAGCACAGAAACAAGAGCAGGTGCAGCCAGTGAGGGGGTCACTCAGGGGTCCAAGCAGGACATCTCAGTGGCAGGGTGGAGATGGGCCAAAATGGACAGATTCAAGATACCTTTAAGGGTATACCTGACCTCCAAGGTGTATGGATAGATTGTGGGAGATGGAGGGTGAAGAAAATGGAGAGATGAAGGATGAGTCTGAGGTTCAGGGCCTGAGCTGCCCAGTGAAGGACGGAGCCACTTACGGAGAAGTGAGCAGGCTAGAGTCATTCTGCACCGCCATGCCCCACCTTCACCCACCCTGTGCCCTCCCAGGTCCAGCTGAGGGTCAGGAATTCCCACAGGGGCCCTCCTCAGACCCTGCCCACCGTGGGAGCCTCCGTGCTCCACCCTGGCCAGCGAATGCCTCTATCCCTCCCTCCGGGCCCGTCTGCTTCAGGTCTTCCACCAGAGCCGCCTTTCCCCTGCCACATCCCTTCTTCCCAACCCAACACACACCTGTTCTTCCAGGTCCACCTCTTCCAGGAAGCCTCCAGAAGCTGGCCACAGGGCCTGAGCCTGCTCCTGCTGTGATGGCCTACTGGACATGGATGGGCCTGTCTCCTCAGTAGACCTGGGGCCACGCCTCCCTGTCCCGACAGCCCCAGCCCATGCTTGGCCATGATGGTGCCGGCACTATGACCTGCCCAGGTTAGACCTCCGGAGGCACAGGTCCACTCACTGGTCCATGGCTCCCAGACTCGCAGGACGCCCCCACTCCTTCCCTCCCCCTCCCTCTCCTTCTCACCCCCCTCTTCTGCCTCCCCACTTCCTCTCACCACAGAACTGTCCCATGGGGGTGCCACCATCTGTGGCCACGGGGGCGGGGGGGTGTCGGGAGCCTGCTCGGGAAGCTGCCGCAGGCCTGATGGTGGTCGAGCTATAGGACCAAACCCTCAGATGCTCGGACCTCAACCTCCACCTCCGATGGGCGGCGAAGAGGCTCTGCCTGGAGCTCCCAGTCCCAAGTCCACATGCCTCCAGCCCGGGGCCATCTCCATCAGGGCTGACCAGGTCCTGCACCCAGGCCACCAGGAGGGTACCGCCAGGCAGAAAGCACGGATGGGAATAAAGGACCGGGCTGGTCGTTACTAAAAAGCAGTGACCAGTGTGGGTGTGACCTATTATTCTAAAGCCTGCTGGTTTCTTACAGCCTTCCCACTTGGATCCAGTGTATAATAAACTCCTAATTCCTTAGAAGACTGACAAACACAGGGGAACCCACTCATTCTTGCTGGGGATGGGCCCTAGAGGGACAGCCAGCAAGAGGAGGTAAAGGGTGGGCTCCCCGTTAAAAAGGAAAGGGTGGGGGCTTCCCTGGCGGCGCAGTGGTTGAGAGTCCGCCTGCCGATGCAGGGGACACGGGTTCGTGCCCCGGTCCAGGAAGATCCCACATGCCGCGGAGCGGCTGGGCCCGTGAGCCATGGCCGCTGAGCCTGCGCGTCCAGAGCCTGTGCTCCGCAACGGGAGAGACCACAAGAGTGAGAGGCCTGCGTACCACAAAAAAAAAAGGAAAGGAGGTATGAGAACTGACAGGGAACCAGAATCTCTATGCCACATTGTTCAGCAAAAAAGAAAACACTGCAAATGGTAGAATGCCACTGGGGCGGGGAGAAAGGGGGGATAAGTCTAGACATAAGACATGTCCCTGGAGAAGTTTCAAGAAAGGGTGAGCATTGACTGGCTCCAGAGAGGGGACCGGGTGGCCAGGCCAGGAGCAGGAAAGACACTGTCCACCACCTAGTGCTTTGGACACTGTCAGTACTGAGCCACTGCAAGGACTGTGCATTCGCAACTACTTTCAAGAGCGTAGAGTTTGGAGTCAGACCAACTCCTGCTCCAGTCTGTCCCCACCCACAGGCTGTGGCCTTAGGGGGGTCGTTTACCTCCTCCAACCTCAGTTTCCTCATCTGAAAAGAATGGGGTGATAAGGAGGTGACTGCCTCCCTGAGATTACCCCAGGATGAAGCACTGGGGCAGATGCTTCATAGATGGTAGCCATGGGAATGATTAAAACCCTACTGTGGGAGGTACTGAACTTGTCAAATTCAGCTCTTTTTCTTTTTCTTTTTAATAAATCTATTTATTTCTTTTTGGCTGCGTTAGGTCTTCGTTGCTGCTTGCGGGCTTTCTCTAGATGTGACGAACGGGGGCTACTCTTTGTTGCGGTGCACAGGCTTCTTATTGAGGTGGCTTCTCTCGCTGTGGAGCACGGGCTGTAGGTGTGCGGGCTCAGTAGTTGTGGCACGCGGGCTCAGTAGTTGTGGCTCGTGGACTCCAGAGGGCAGGCTCAGTAGTTGTGGTGCACGGGCTTAGTTGCTCCGCGGCGTGTGGGATGTTCCCGGACCAGCTTTCGAACCCGTGTCATGTGCATTGGCAGGCAGATTCTTAACCGCTGCGCCACCAGGGAAGCCCCAAATTCAGCTCTTAAACAAATAAATCCAGCTGTAACAATGGGAGACACATTGTTTGAAGGACAGCTTTGTCAGGATCTGCCTCTATCCCTCACCTATGAATCCCTCCTCTCCCTTCCCCGGGCCTCTTGCTTCTACCTGCAGCTTGAGCTTCATCTCCATCTGCAGGATCCATCCATCCCAACCTGCCCTCCATAGCTCCCTAACTACCGGCCGAGAGCTGGAGTCCTGCCTGACCGGAAAGGCCTTGCGGCTCCCTGGCCCTGCATCCCATAGTTGTCCTGGAAGGACTGCCCCGCCCCCACTGCCTGCAGCCATACCAGGATACCCAGACCCTCCTGCCTGCCCGTACCACCTTCTGACTCTGGACAGGCCCAAATCAGGCTGGAGGAGACCGGGGGGTTATCCCTATACATCCACGTCCACGGAGCAGTGAGAGTTCACAGGTGCCGGCATAACAACCACAACCCCCGGGTTTCCAAGAGACACCCAACCTTTAACTGAGAGCCCACGATTATCATGGTCAGCCTACCCTACTTTCCAGGGACAGGCCAACAGATACTCTGAGAATTACTCTTGATTGGCTCTTTCAAACAGAAAAGAGAAAGAGAGAGAGAAAAGAGAGAAAAATAATCTGGTCTGTCCCACATTAAGTATCCTGCTAGTACAGATGTCTGGCGTCACCAGAGCACCCAAAAAAAAATTCCAGGCGGTTGACTGACTTACTGAATAAGCTTCCTTTATCGGGAACACAGGAGCTAAGGCAGGCAGTGAGCTGTGGGCTGTTTCCCATCTGTGCCAACTGGGGGTGGACCAGGGGCGGGGGCACTGCCCTGAGCAGCATGGCGGGTTCAAACCAGCTCCCAAACTCCAACACTCACTAACTCAACACTCTGCAGCCCTGGGCAAGTTCTCACATCCGGGCCTCAGTTTCCTCACCTGTAAAATCAGGACCAATAGCAGTACCTGTCTCATGGGGTGGGCCTGATGACTGAGTTAATATCTGCAAACTGGGCTTCCCTGGTGGCGCAGTGGTTAAGAATCTGCCTGCCAATGCAGGGGACACGGGTTCGAGCCCTGGTCCGGGAAGATCCCACATGCCACGGAACAACTAAGCCCGTGCGTCTCAACTGCTGAGCCTGCGCTCTAGATCCCGCAAGCCACAACTACTGAGGCCCACATGCCACAACTACTGAAGCCCGCCTGCCTAGAGCCCGTGCTCCGCAACAAGAGAAGCCACCACAATGAGAAGCCTGCGCACCGCAACGAAGAGTAGCCCCCACTCGCTGCAACTAGAGAAAGCCCGCGCACAGCAACGAAGACCCAACACAGCCAAAAATAAATAAATACATTTATTAAAAAATATATATATTTACAAGCTGCTTAGAACAGGGCCTGGCCCACGGAAGGCCTACATGTTTTTTGTTTTTTGTTTTTTTTTTTCTCCCCCACCCCCAGGCCTACATGTTTTAGGAGTTATGAAGAGACAGGGTATCATGTAGTGAGAAAGTAACAACGGCTCCCTTTTCATCTCCAAGCCTTCTTGTTTCTCCAGCAGAAAGCTCCTGGTTGGTGATACTAAATCTTAAACACCTCCCTCTGTAGCATAGAGAGAGGACCCAGGCTTAGAGCTCTGGCGGGCAACTGTATAAGGGTGGAATGTTACAACCCTGTTTTATTTGCATTATATTTGTTTTTATGATCATCTTCAACCTGGATGAGTGCTACTGATTTTCCATTTGAGTCTGTTATTTTAAATTTTTCCTTTTAAAAGTAACAAGTAAAAAAGAATGAGTTGATTTAAAGAAAAATGTTGACTGGTGGACATAACAAAACGTATAAATAATAAAGGAGGTTATCCGGAAGCAGACCTGCTGGAGGTTGTCCACTATCCTCCTGTCTCCCCTCCCCCCCGCACAGTGTGGCCAGCCCAGGACACTTCTGGAGGGCAGCACTCGGCCTCTCTATGGCCAATGTCCAAAGATTCCCCCTCCCAGCCCCTCCACAGAAATACACTATATTTCAAACATGCCCTGCACCCTTCTCGGCTACCTATCAGAGGAGTTCAGGACACCACAGAAAAACTAATGCTGCAGTTTGCTGCACAAAGTTCATTTTACTCTTTTAGTCCAACTAAAAGAGTCTGGAGAAAACCCCAGCTGAAACAAAGCCACGCACTGCATTGTGGAGCCACGTGGAGATGACTGGGGACTCACACATCATCCACACACAACTGCCTGTCGGCTCAGAGCCTTTGTTGAATTTGGCCAGTCCCACTGCTGGCAGTAATGGATGAAACATCTGAGTAAAGACTGGGTAGTTCATGCCTGGCTGGGTGTATGATTGGGACACTGAAAGCCCCCTTTGTGAAGAGATATGGGAACATATGTATATGTATAACTGATTCACTCTGTTATAAAGCAGAAACTAACACACCATTGTAAAGCAATTATACCCCAATAAAGATGTTAAAAAAAAAAAAAAAAAAAGAAAGCCCCCTTTGTCAAGAAGCTCTATTCTTTAGAGCCAGCTCTGCACGCTGTCACCAGGAGGCAGCACTCTTGGGCTCCTCAACACCCCTTGAAGCCTTTTTCTCAAGCAGCTTCTGAAGTAGAGAGGAATTCAGAACCTCCTGTTCCTCCAGCTTCTCCTTCTCCTCTGAAATAGCTGCACTCCTCCTCAGACCAGCCTTGGGGAAGTAGTCAAGCAGTATTTATGTTTCCTCTAGCTTTAGATGGAGCCCCAAGCAAAATACCGGACGTTCAGAGAAAACTAGAACTTTCTACACTAGATTTGTTTTAGGATCCCATGAGGGAAGGGATCATGTAGCCCCATGCTTAGCACAAGGGCCACCCTGGATCAGTGGTTCTCAGATTGGTAGGTCTGGAAGTGGGCCTGAGAATTTACCTTTCTCACTAGTTCCCAGGTGATTCTGATGCTGCTGCCCCTGGCACCACATTTGAGAATCTTTGCACTGGATAAAGGTTATGAATGAAAGAAAAGAAAAGAAAGAGGGAGGGAGGGAGGGAGAAAGGAAGAGAAAGAAGGAAAGAAAGGAAGGAAGGGAGGGAGGGAGAGAGAGAGAGGAAGAGAAAGGAGGGAAGGAAGGAAGGGAGGAAAGAAGGGAAGGAGGGAGGAAGAAAAATGGCCTAGACCAACCTCCTCGTGTTAAACAGGATAAGAAGGTGGCGTCACCCACCAGTTTGCTCTGGACAAAGGTGGGAGGGGAGCACAGGTATATCCAAGTTCAATCCTGGTAGGCTTGGCCAGCCTCTTCCCGAGAAGGCTCTACTTGCTGGCAAAGAAGTCTGTGCTTTCCGGAGCCCAGCAAGCTGCTCCCCTCTCCACTGAAGAGAAGCCTCACTTCAGCCCTTCCCAGCCTTTTCATTTGTCCTGGGACTCAACAGGAGCACCTGCGAGTCTTCAAACCCGACAACTGCTTGCGACGCGTTCCGGCGACCTTTAGAACGCGCGGGTTCATCTCCCCCGAGCTGGAACCGAAGCGCCGAAGCCTTGCTGCGCCTTCACACCTCACAGCAGCAAGCGCTTTGCGCACCGGAGTCGCTGGGAGGCGAGACGGCAGGAATCCTTCGGCCCCCGCCCCAGGCCTGCAGAGCTCCTGACT